GTGTTGCCAGAGATGGCAGACGCCTCACCGGGGCGCAAAACGCACCGGCCGAGCCGAGCCGAGCCGAGTTTTAGTAGTTGCCTTGCATAAGGCAGCAAAATATACCGAGCAGCTTCTTGCAAAAGCGATAGGTAGCCCAGTAGCGTAAAAACAGGGCTCTCATCCTTATTTTCCCCGAGATTTATTTACATTTAACGCTCTGTCGTTACCTTTGTTTCTCAGCGCAGATTATCTTAACTAGTTTTGGCCATATTTGGATAATATGTACAGTTTATCAGCAAGACCAGCCATACAAAAGCGCCAGAAGAAAAACGAGACCTTTGAGAATGAAGGCAAGGAGTGTAGCTGTACTCCCCGACCCTCGCCCTCTAATCCTTCACAAAAACTGTTGTAATGCTTCCTGTGAGGCATTAGCTTTAAGCTCGACGTCATCCTAATTATATAACCAAAATAGTACGACCACCAATAAGCATGCGCGAAAGCTACTGATAAAAGTACTGCAAATATACCAAGCCAGTGCCGCTGGTAGATATGGCGCTCGTTCATTAAATATACTTAGTCATGGCACATTTTGCATGACTAGCGACCGAATTCTTATGCACTGCAATGGCCTTGCAACTTTTTGATATGTGAAGCGACTATATTGCAAAAACTTGTGTGGTTTTTCAAATGAAGTGAATGCTCTCACAACTGTCCTTCAAGCCACCACACACGCCTGTAAAAACCATGAATTTTATTAGATGTGATAAACTGATGCCGCAAGCTCAGGCCACGACTGCTGTTGATAGCTCATGTGCATTCTGAAAAAGACGGAAAATTTCGACGAAAAGAACAGGGTTATGAAGTTTTTTTTGGAGAGCGCATTGCTGTTTATTGAAGTTACGCGGAGAAAAATGGAAAATGCAGTATCTGTTGGACGGAAAGTCAGCCACCTCCTAAAAAAGCAAAAAAAAGTCACTACACTGCACTCGTTTTGATACTATGAAAAGTGAATGATTTCAATTAAGGCAACGGGAAATGCTATTAATGGGGTAATCAGGAAAAGAGGAGCAATGCTCAATTTTCCCACGGGCTGTAAGCCAAATTCTGCTTTTAAAAATATATTTTTAAAATCAAAAAGGGAAATCTGCTCCGCACTCGTTCGGCGTGAAAGGAGAATACTTTCGAAAACAGTTTTTGTGTCTTCCGTATGGTTTTCTTAAATTAGATTGACGACGGTTTTGACTTAGATTAGTATCGAAAATGATACGTAGCGATGTGCTAATTAATTGTCTGCCAATATTTTGGTTCTATTACTTGGCACTATAGCCTACTGTCAATCAGAAGTCATACAACTAACTAGCCACATATTCTTTACGAATTATCGAGTTTATTTTTTAGTGTGATTCAGGTGAGAATATGCGTAAACGTGCAGTTTTATTATGCGTTTTTTGTAGCTATGCAATCTAGAAAACGCATGTTGACGAGTGGTTGAGTCTGTGTGTGTGTGTGTGTGTGTGTTCGTCTGTACCGATTTTTCATCTCGAGACCCAAAAAAGCTACAGGACTGAAACCTGAGGAACTTAATCTACATGCGTGTGCGAATATTCTCAAAATGGGTGTTCTTACCCGCGTGGTACCCACGTACGGGCCCGCCAAAGTTTTTTACTGGCAAGCTGCTAACTCGGAAACTAGAGAATCTGGAAAGCTGAAATTCTGAGGGAATATTCCCCATCCAAGTATGTGTTAATGAGCTCAAAACCAGTCCTCGGGTGTATGTGGTACCCACGTAGGAGCCCGTGAAAGTTTTCTCCGGGTAAGCTGATAACTCGGAGATCTGAGAAGCTGGAAAGCTGAAACCTTAAGGAAATATGCCCCGTCCAAGTAGTTATTAATGAGTTCAAACTCAGCCTCCAGGTAAACGTGGTACCCACGTACGGGTCCATGAAATTTTTTTCGGGTAAGTTGCTAATTTAGGAGCCTGAGAAGCTAGAAGGCTGAAATCTCAAGGGAATATCCCCGTCCAAGTAGGTATTAGTGAGCTCAAACCTAGCCCCCGGGCAGGCGTGGTACCCACGTAGCGCCCGTGAAATTCTTTTTTCGAGCAAGTTGATAACTCGAGGATCGGAAAAGAGAC